AGGGCACAAACCCTCCACAAACCAGTCACACACATCATTCTCAGTCCGAATAAGTTCAGCAACAAAATGACTTAACTTATTAAACTCACATTCATATTAATATACTGTATATTTCCCTTGCTTCAAATTCAAAAATTATTGTTTCATCTGTCTAATATTTTGGTCCCCAATGTACATACGCTTGAATTCTTCCAAGAAAAATAACCAGGTCACTTGAATACTTCTTAATCTCATGGTGACATTTGTCCACCATATTCTAGCTTGACCCCGTAATAGCGAAACTATTCCATCTAATCTCTCCACATCATAACAGTGGAGCCGATCCAATATAATCTTGACATCGTTCAACCAAAGATCCGCAGCAATCGAATCTTCCTCAGCTTCACCCTTAAACTCAGGTGCTCCTAAACCTTTCAATTCCTTAGCTATATTCATTCGAGGATCTGAGGGCGCAGAGGGTTGAAAACGCGACAAAATAGCGTTTAACATCCCGAAAAATAACCCTTGGTCTCTTACTGGTTCTACTGGAGGTGTTCGCTCTTCACTATATCTTGCCAGGACAGGTGAATTACTACTACCCTCAGGTCTATTACTTCTCCTTTCACTACAAGGACTCTCACGATCATACATATATTACACAACCATATAACTTTATTAGAAGATAGTATACTCATTACTCTATCAGATCAGAAACTTTCACTTTATATTGGCATGCATACTTTTTCAAAATACTTTTAACTTCATTTTAAGCATAGAATCGACTAAACCTTAGCTCTGATATCATTAAATGTAACACCCCCAACTAGTATCCGACCCGGATACGAATCCGAGGTGTCACATTGACTAGTCAAAATATGTACTTTTATAAAAACCATAGAAAATTTAAAACTTCTATACTATAAAGTTATTCATTTACATAAACATATTCAAAACCTTAACAGACTCCATCAGAGTGTACATATTTAATGACTTAGTTACATGTGAACATACTAAATTATATAACAAGACATACTTTACAAAATATTTCTGATCTGATCTTTGAGTGTAGATATGCTGCTCTACTGATCCGAAGCTTGATCTTCTAACTTATCCACACCTACGTGTAAAACACTTACACACTAAGTCATAGACTTAGTGAGATATATAAATACATAAAGTAAACTAACAAATGCATGAATATCTTATGTAATACACATCATACTTATATACCTATTGAACCAATCATTAACTTGTTTACCATTACTTATTTCATTGCCTTCAATTCTATCATATAAGCATATATTTGACCTAAACATATAATATAACTCCAAAATAAAATAATACATGAATAAATACTTATGTCATATCATACATAATCACATACCATCTCCTATTACAAATAAACATATGCACTTGTTAGCATTATCCTCATTGCTATTATCATATGATTTTGAGCTTATCATTTATACATGTCATATAGCACAAATATCATTTCACAAAGAACACATATATTATCATAACACATATTTATTATCTTTAAAGCCCATGTATACTTTTGAGAACTGAAGGTATGTGAGTACATAGAGGTTGTGCACAATGCTATCACCACAGCTCGTATAAATCCTACTAGGGGCGCGTAGGAAATTTGTCCCGTAGGACCACTATGTCCCGAAAGACCACGTAGAACACATATGTTCCGTAGGACCACGTAGAACCCTCGACTCTTGGCATGCCAACTATACCTATAGCTCTCATAACACATGACATGGGCATTATCTGTTATATCCTTTCACATATTCACATAGACATGTAGTTTACTTTCACGTTGCATATTTCCATGTAATTAACATTCACGTATCACATAGCTTTTCACCTTTACTTGTATTCTTTTTCACATAGCTCATAGTCATGATTCTTATTTCATAATATATGTTCACATCACTCATTTAACATACATAGTATATCATGTAACATTCTAATAGAAACTCACATGAATCATATCACTTTCACATATATTTTATCATATATCTTATCTCTTTGATCACATAACCTATTATCACACATACATGCATTTATATAGTTCACATATAAAGATGCATTCAACAATTAGACATATACAATTACTCATATACAATACATCTAGCACCCTATCACTGCATGTTTATGCTTCAGTACTCATATCACATAATATCGGGATTAGACTCATCACAAGTCTTAATTCCATAATATAACGTACACTTAATATCATGTACTCACCCGATCTCAATGAACACTATCAATCTCTTGTTCTTTCTTGTGAATCTTACTCTGACGACCTATCCGAACTTTGCTTTAGATCGATATCTATACGAATACAAATTTAATGAATATCGATATTCGAATTACCAAGCTAACTGGAAATTCACTTGTGTTAGTCACTACACAAACAATATAGAATTAATATCAATCTCATCTCAATTATATCGAATCATAATAACTTGATATATAAGAACCTTATATTTTATTTCATACTTAAGGGTATCGATACACTCCCTAGTGTATCGATACACAAATAGCATTCGATGTTTTGAGGGTATCGATACACTCCTCAGTGTACCGATACACAAATGGCATTCGATGTTTTGAGGGTATCGATACACTCCTCAGTGTATCGATACACAAATGGCATTCAATGTTTTGAGGGTATCGATACACTCCTCAGTGTACCGATACACACTCATACAAATATGCATGTTCAACTCATGAGGTATCGATACCTCTCCTAAGGGTACCGATACACTAAGCCCATAATGACCATTTTCAACTCGAAAATTTAACACTTTGCCCCCAAATTTTGCTTGTTAAGCCCTTCTTATGCCTTAGAACTGATCTATACATATTTAAACCTTCTAATAACACTATAACACTTCACCATTTCTCATAACTAATCATAATTCTTGAATCAAAGAATTTCACCAATTTTTCCATGTGTTCTAAATTCATTTATATTACCTCCAGCTTCTTAATTAAACTCTTGACAAGTCAAAAATCTTATTCAAACTCTAAAAACGACCCCGTATCAAAAATTCATCTTAAAACTCATTTTACAAATCCTTTCTTAATTTACTCATCTTATTGTTTAAATCCCATATAAGCTTTCCTTAAGCTTATTTAACACTCAAAGAGTCAAAACTCACTTGGAAATTCAAGGAATCAACAATAAAAATCTGACTTACCTTGCTGTTAGAGCCCACGTGAAGAAGAGGAAATCAAGAAGAAGAAGAGAGTTCTAGATATGCCCTTTACTCATTCCATAATTACAATTTAATCCAATACTGAAATATTCCTATTTAAATTCTTGAACTTATAAATTTTCTGAAATTGATCCGCAAAATTTTAAAAACTCTCATTTTAGTCACTGACCCGCATTTAGGGATGTTACAATGTTAAATTTGGTTAAATATCGGATGATCCTCTTATTATTAGATAGAAAAAAAAAGTAAATGTTATTACCACTTTTATTATTGTTAGGGTAAAATACAAAGTTGAACACTTTTGTTTCAGTTTTATAAATGTATGGTCACTCGATTCAAAAAAATATAATTCGTAGTCACTTTCGTTTTGTTTTAATTAAGATGTGTTCATTGAAACGCTGACTTTCGTTAGTTTGATGACATGACATGTTAGTAAAAGGGTATAATTTTTTATTTTACCCCTAATTTTTTTTTTATAAAATACTAATTAGGAACCATTTTATAAATTCAAAATAATTTAGGGACAAAGTTCTAATTGGCCCCTTTTTATATGTTTTTTCTCCAACCCCATCTTCTTATGCCGCACACCTCCCTCTTATCTACAGCGGGAAGGGTTTAGTGTTGAGTATTTGAGTTTTTTTGGGTTATAATATTGGGAAATTTTATGATTTTTTAAAATATAATATTTTAAACTTTTCTTAAAAAATAAAATTTTCAAAATTATATAAATGTGACACATGTCGTTTAACAAAATTTTTTAACTACCGTTACGACCAAGACACTTAAAATAGTAATACTTGTACCTAGATGAAACCAAAAAAAGTTTAAACGTCACTTTAGGAAAAGCAATATAGTTTTTGCATTTATTTTTAAATTAAAACTTTATAATTTAATAAAAGTATCTATACATTATGTTATTATCAATGTTAAAAATATGTTCTTAAAATATTTTATAATTTATATTATAAAATAAATAAAATTAATTTCAATCATAGTTTAACTTAAATATTATTTTTGTCAAAACTATTACTATAATCTTTTAGCTTGATATAATGGTTAAGTGTTCAATTAATCCTCCCTATAGCCATACTTTTTTTCCAATTTTCTACCAATAACATGACACGTATAGCAATCTTATGGAAGGGCATTAATTTTTTTTTAAAAATAACATGTGGGCTTGCCTCAACGACAATAAATTCAAATGTCAATGACTCCAATGTAAGTTTTAAAAATTTGGTGATAAAATATAAGCATCCTAAAAGTTCATGGACTACCGTGTAGTTTACCCTAAAATTAATTGCTTTAATGGAGGTTTGATTTGCTGGAACCCTAATAAAAAAATGCTGCCTAATACACAGATACATAAAGTATATTTAAAAAATAGAAGAGATCGTGTTTTATAAGTTTGATTCAAGTGAAGAAATTGCAGACAGTAGGATGACAAAATCTGAGGTGAAAATGGCTTAAGATGCTTATAAGCAATTTGCCCAAAACAACACTACTTGAGGCTCAAGCAACTTCACTTCCATAAATATCAAGGTGGGTCAAGGATATTCAAATGATTTTTGTAAACAGTTATTCACCTTCCCAACCCATTTGTCGAGCTCTTTGTTCCCATACCGTCGTAATTTTCCTCTCCTTGATCAGCAACGCCTCCTCCCGTTCTCTGGCTCCCTCACAGGTTTCCGTGGCAGCAATACACTTTTCTGCCTCCCTTTGGTACTGGGAAGCCACCCTTTTTGCTTCACCAAAGGTGATGTTCATATGCCGAGCATGCTCTTCTGCGACGGCCTCCTGCAACTTCAACTCTTCGCTCAGAAGATCCATGAATTGCTTCTCCATCTCTTGCTTCATATCAGGGTCGTTGCTTCCACAATCTGTCTCACCATTAATCATAACATTGCATACATAATTGTTGTCGATAGGAAGTAGGCGATGATTTGATATTAAAAAAATGACAAGTATAAAGCGGTAAGTCATAAACACTGATTGATTTTGGGTTAAAAGAATAAACTCTAACCTGTGACAGATAGATTGGCCAACCCTGTAAAAGAACAAAAGCACAGAAACCGTGAGTAATTCACATAGATAACCGAATGTTTCGAGAATGAGACACATGAGAACACATAACAAAAACTTTGCAATCATGGCCCTGATAACTAGCAGGAACCACAAAAAATAAGAAAACCAACAGCACAATGAACAGCAGATGCTGCTCGCATTTACAAGGTAATATCGTCCGCCTGCGAAATATCAAGTGCGAAACAAAGAAGGGAAATATAAGTTCATGTAACCTATAGAAATTCGACATTTATCACAGTGTGCTTGTTACTTCGTATCATCGTGGTTTATGAAGAGTACAAGCAGCCAAAATGAAAGTGCTTTTTCATGATCAACAACAGATTTATTCGTATTCTGGACATTCGACAGACGTTTATTGATTTCAAAAGTCCAGATCAATGGTGCAAAAGCTCAACAACACAGCTAGACAAAGTATAAAATGGTGCGAAACCTCAACCGTCGTTGCCCTGAAGAAGAGAAGCCCAGGAAGAGTTTTTAATACCTACTTCCGTAGAACGAAAAAAATCCCAAAAGCACTAGGAAAAAGAAATCATGTTTGGAATCTTATAGCCAAAATCCAGAAAGGAAATGGACGTAGGAGGGACCAAAGGGTTCTGTAATTGGTTCCCAATAACAACAAAAACGAGTTCTTGTAAATTCCTCCACTAAATATATGATTAAACAAGCACAAATCTTCATTGAAATTTGGTTTTAGTTTGTTACAACAATTGCACGTATCCAAGCGAACTGATGCCTTAAAGATTAGCAGCAACAGTATATAAAAAATCTCAAATCAAAGAAACACAGCATTACAATATCTCAAAATTAGCAACAAAAGCAAATCAATACCTCAAATTCAACAAATGGGTATAGCTAAACTTCAGTCAAATAGACAAACAAGCGATCCAAATCGAATTACGACGGGAACCCAGAATTAAAAAATGGAAAGAAAATGGATTAACAAAAATAAAAAGAGAGAAGCAAGAATACCGGGGGCAATCTTGAGAAGGGAAAGAGGAGGAGGACAATCACAGATGCAAGGAGCACAAGAGGATTTGGGATCAACGAATCTGAGAGTTTTCTTGAATCTCCAATAAAGAGAAGGTCCGCATACTCCCAATGCTGAAACTACTGCAAATATTACTAGACATGCCCTCAACATTGTCCCTGATGATCGCCGTGACATGCTTCAATCTCTGAGTTTAGTCTGGGTTTTGTGCGATACTGAGGAGTTTTTGTCTGTGGATTAATTTTGATCGCTATGAGTATACGAATTTACTGTTTGCTCCAACTGTCATTTTATTTCTTTTCATTTAGACTTAATTAAAAAAAGGTTAAAGTAAACAAATGGTTCCCCAATTATTTTTATCACTTTATTAAGTCCCTCGACTATTAAAGTTTACAAAATGATCCTTCAACTATTGAGTGTTGATTTGTTGAGTTCCTCGACTATTAAAAGTTACAAAATGGTCATCTGACTATTTATTATGCTTCAAACTTGTCATTTTCTATTAAATATTGAATGTATTTTGAGCTGAACGTTAACATGTTGATTGTAATATGATAAAATATGATCCTAAAATCTCAAACGATCATCATATCTCAGTTATCATGTTAACGTCCAGCTTAGACAACCGTCAATTTTTAACAGACAATGAAGAGTTTGGAACATAATGAATAGTCAGGGTGGCCATTTTGTAACTTTTAATAGTCAATGGACTTAATAAAGCAACATTCTATAGTCATAAGACCATTTTGTAACTTTAATAGTTGAGGGATTTAATAAAATAATATCCAATAGTTGATGGATCATTTGTGTACTTTACCCAAAAAATAAATACTTTTTTTAAAAATAAACACTTAATATTCTTTAAGTGTTTAATTTTTCTATTAAAGTGAATATTTAACATTTTATTTTGTTATTATTATAAAATAGTTTTAACAAAAAAATATATCATTGAAAAAATATAAGATACATAATTTAATTTACTTAAAAATTATTAATTTAGAAAAATCTTCTAAATCTTTAAATTCTCAAAATCTCTAAATACCTGTCTCTCTAATTATTTATTGTTACTAAAATCATCATCAAGTGTATAATTGGTGTTGGTCGAAAGACAACATGTAGTGTAGAGAAGAAGCGGATGATGTTTAATTTCATGACGGAATATATAAAATAAATGTGTTTGAACGATCTATAACAAAACATAGTAAATAATAATGAACTATTGAATCGCAGAAAGATGCATCGTAATATAATATGATGAAGAGAATTGAATGAATTTATTTTTTTCCCAGAGAAGAAAAAGAAATGATTAATAAATAGCAAGATTTTAAAAAAATAAAAAATAAAAATTTTATTTTTATGAAAAAATAAAAATTTAAATTAAAACTTATACATTAAAGAATGAGAAATTTTTAACAGATATTAACTATTTGATCTTAAAATGATAACATAATAAAATGTTAAATATTTATTTTAATATATAAAACTTTTAAATATTTAAAATTAAAAATAATTAGAATACTTACTTTTAGATTATTTTTTAAGACTTAATTATAAAATAAGTGTCCAAATGATACCAATAGGTGTCCAAACTTTTTTTTGAATAATCCTGGTATTTAACGTTACATGTAACGTAATTATTTTAGATGTTCAAGTCGTAACTGTCGTTAAATTTCTCTGTTAAGTAACATGTGTAACATTTTGGTAATTTTGATTTTTTTTTTAAAAATAAAAATATTATAATATTTATAAAGAAAACCCTAATTTCTCATAAATTACAAAAACAAATCCTTAAAAAATCCTAAATCTCTAACCCTAACCTGTTGTCATCCCTACTGGCCACAACCACTGCTGGCAACGTAGTCCCTACCATCTTCCTAGTCATATGCGACTATGGTTGTCACTAAATCGTGTGGGGACACGATTTGTTGCTTAGGGTTCACGAGTTACAAATGTCAATTGATCGTCGATTAGTAGAGATTTCATAGGGTTATTGATCGCCAGGAGAGGTGAGGTCGGGTGGAGCTTCGTCGACGGCAGAGGGCAGCGAACGACGTGAGTTTAGGGGTTGAAATGAAGGTTTTTAAAGTTTTGGGTTATTTCAAAAAATTGCTTTTAAATTTTAAATAAAAAATTCAAAATTACCGAAACTTGACACATGTCTTTCAAATGGAAGAATTTAACGACAGTTATGATACAGACGTTTAAAGTGTTAACGTTTGTAACGTTAGTATCTAGATGATTAAAAAAAATGGAACATATTTAAGAAAAGAAGTATAATTTAGACAATTATTTTATAATTAAGCCTTCTTAATCTTTGGTTTTGAATAAGTCGGTGTAAGAAACCAAAACCACGCGTATCTGAAAGGCGGAGGTAGATTCACAGTCACAGATTAAATTATGGAGGCCCAACAATATCTTCTGTAAATGTTGAAACATTCTATGAAATCCATCTCTCATTCTTAGCGGTCGGTTTTGACTTTTAAGCTTGGTTTTTCATTTTATTTTCATTTCTAGGGGAAAAGTGCTTAACCTATAACTACATTTGGTTGCATGATGTGTGAAAGGAAAAAGATAACCTCAAAATCATATTTTATAAGAGTTTTTTTAATAATTATAATTAGTAAAATAAAAAAATAGTGTATACATTCTATTAAAAATTAATTTAATCTTTTAAAACTATTCTTTTTTTTATTTAGAAAACATCGATTAACTCACGCTATCAATATCAATGAAAAATTTAATTATTATTATAGATATTATTAATTATTACTACTCTATTTTTAATATGTTATTCCAATTTGAAAACCGTGTAAATTAAAAGCCAATGTTTGGGTATAAATTATAAAATACCCGAAAATTACTATCCAAATATGAACGCACACAACACAAAACAGCTACTTTCACATTACATATATTTAAAATATAAGATTTCACGTGTTTCGCATTGTTATTGATAATCACTTGGTTTGTATGGGCATGCATGGCCCATGATAATGTGGCTGATAGAGGATTAAAGTACAAATCCAACACCAAATTGTCAGTGGCAGACCATAGCCAGTCTAACTAAAATATAGAAAACTGTCCTCACATGGTGCGACGAACCCAATCCAATGCCCAACCTTCTCAAACCAGAAAAAATATCCATATCATGCAAGTGTAATCTTCCAAACATATTCGAATTAATCAAACAAGCCAACACATTATTATATTATATACTATCCACGTAAACAAGGAATACGATCAACTATTTTGTCAAGTCACGTACAAACACCGCCACCTTCACTTTTCATCCCAAAAGAGACATTGCCCGGAAAGGGAAATATCAAGGATTCTCATACGCAAACAATCTTGATAAACCATATATAATCAAATTAACAGTCATCAGCTTTGGAGGCTAACATACGTGAATCCCATATCACAGCATCGTTTTGCTTTCTCTAGCTAGGAAGTTTACAGTATGGTACAACATTGATTGGTTTTCTTAGCCTGCTTGTAGAACATCTGTTTCAATAACCAGAATTATGTTCGGTGTTAGCGACGATATAGGGTAGTCGATTTTCATTTACCATGTAGAAAACCGACTATAAACATGATATATATGATAGGAAAACACAGGTCTACAGAAGCAGAGTTAGATGGATATATAAATTGATAAATGCATGGGATTATGTTAAGCGTTGCATATGTACCTGAGATGCAGCACTCAGGTCTGAACTCTTCTCAACCAAACTGTCCAGCTTCTCACCTCTTGCAAGCACACTATCAATGGTTTTATGCTGCATCAATTAAATAATTGTTTCAATGAATGTGAGAACTAATATCAGTCATTTGCTAACACAAACATAGTCATTATTTAATCAGCATTTAATCTTCAATTCAAGTTGCTTGTTTAACAGAATTGGTAGACACAAAATTATTGACAGCGAAGATGTAGCATAGGCTGCCATTTAGCCATTTGATAGACAATGTTATCCTTTAAAATCCTCACGTTGAGAAAACAGATAGAAAATGAACATGTGGTACTCATTAATTGCTTATGTGCCAAAATTATCAAACTATGAACAATCTGCTGAAGGTTCAATATGAAGGAATTGCTTCGGATCATTAGCAATATTTGCAAATGTGAACTGATATGAAACAAACACATGCAAAGAACGGACCCTAAATATACTTCAATTGGCAGTAACCATGGACCTTACACTTCTTATCTAAATAGCCATTTAGCAGCTGATATGGCCTAAAATTAATATTTCCCCGTCAGATTTTTTCCCTCATTGAAAATAGGCTATAGCATCAACAAACCCAGTTTGGTTTCCCTGATAACAGACTAAGAACTTGCAATTTTGCCAATGGCAAACCAAGAAGGCACAATACCAATCATACAACATCCATGATGACCTTAATTAGTTTGCTATGTACAAACAAACCTTTCTACAAATGTTATTATTCACCACAACATCAAAGCAAAAACAATTTCAATCTAAAGCATGTCTTTCACAATTTAGACAACCAACTGTTAAACAAGTATGAACTTTTGAGTTTCAATGCAATGATGATTCCATGGTGACGATTCAATGCTATGATATGTGAAAGCTTAAGGGAATGCATACAAAATTATCAATCTATGCATAATGCATCAACAAAAAAATACTTACAAGGATGATTTTAGTTTCATCCAACTCCCTCTGAATTTTCAATAATTTATACGCCTCTGCAGGGTCCTGAAGGTTGAAAGAGGGTTAGAAAAGGATTTTTAAAAAAATTCTATAAATCTCCGAGTAATATCCTTTAAATAGCTTCTGATATGATTTGAAAAGTACAATTCACAATCCACATTAAAACTACAGCAGTCATGCATGAAAAAGTAAAAAAAGATACCTGAAATTTGGTCAAAGCATCATTCAAATAGGGCCAAGGTTGAGTGCTATCCGCTTGCGCATTTCTCCACGACTCCCCAAAATTTTTCTGATACTCATCTAACAGCTGGCAAACATCATTTGGAATTTATCAAAGAAAGATACAAACTAACAGAAAATTTTCACAAGATCAAAGCATAGAACAGTAAAAAAAACATATGCATATCAAATGTGAAAATATGTGGCCTACAGACACTTGAAATCATCTTATACACGTAAGGCATCGTATATGCACGCTGCACGCTATCTTCCTCAACCAATCCATCTATCTATCTATAACACTAACATTAAACACATGCAATGCATCAAGCACAAACATGACTAGTTCACAAGTGAAACCAAAACAAAGTATAATCATGGTTAAAAGAAAATTTTTAACTGATATGATACTTTCTATATAACCAAACAAACAAACCTTTTCCCTCATATATTCAGGATCAACCACAAGAACTAAGACATAGAGCTAAAATTTTGTTGACTTAGTTGCAGTCAATAATATTAGAAGACACCGAAGCATAAATGAAATAATGAAACAGCAAAAATGGAGCACTTAGTTTCTTTACCTGGTTGAGTAGCGAAAAAGCACTTCGAACAGGATAATGATCATCCATAAATCCCAAGGCACAAAGTCCATTTCTGTTGTAAGCATGAACCTTATACTCTAAATTAATATCACCAAACAACAAAATTAGAATCTTAAGAAAACGGTACAATCATAATTTCTCATAGACTCATCAGCGTCAACCAAATCGTACTCTCAAACCTCAAAGAGAAACACAATCCACAAACATAGAAAAGATCAACTACACTTTAAAGGTCAAATCTTAATTAATATTAGAAAGGCGTTCGAATTATGCTTTTCATTTGCTAATAAATCTCGTTTTGGAACAGTTAAAAAAGTTAACAATCTAATACAAGATAGAAGACGGAAGATCTAAACATGGTACTATGAATCTAATCGCCACAGATATCAATCATCAACAAAGCAAATACTATCCATCAAAGACAAAATCATGAAAGTTAAAAAAGGTTAAAGCGAAATGGCAGACCTTCGTGCTGGACGGACTGACGCTGACCGGGAGGGGTACGTTTAGCAACGGTCCGAGAAACGAAGACGATAAACTCCCTAACGCTAGGCCTTTGGAAGTAACCGAAACGGCTCACATCGGTTGCGTTGGCTAGTATAGTCGGATCGGATCCTTCCGGATTGACCTTCAACACCACTAACGCCGTGATCTTCATATTGTTTTCACTTTCTCTCCCGATTTCCCCCCAAACAAATAAAATAATAAATTCTATGTTTTCTTACTTTTTCTCTCTCGGCGTGAACTGAACAAAATATTTTTTGTGCTTGTTTTCGGGTAAGAATTAAGATTCGTAAGAGAAAGACGGAGTGGGAATAAGGATCTGCTGTAGCCGAGACCTTTAACGATTCGTTGCAATCGCTTCGCTGGCTCGCGTTTTACCGTGCCTACAATTGCTGGACTTCGATAGATAGGACCGTTCATCTGGGTGGTCCCACTATAGTCTCGTTTTTAAGGCCGTTGATATTCTTAATGATTGTTGCGTACCATGTTGGAGTCCTGTTTAAAGTAAGCTAAGATTTTTTTTTAGTAACTTAAAGTAAGCTAAGATTTGTTTGACCTGATTTGTACTAGTTTTAGGTTAAAAGTCGATTTGTTTAAGTAAATTACGATGGCTAATTTGGTTTTATAAATTGTTGAATCAA